GGCCTAGGCCCTCCCTAGCCCTATGCCAGATCCGCCCCTGTATATAGGACCAAAATGTTTACAAAAGTCGAAAAATGAAACTATGAAAAAATAAGATTATTAAAACTTCCCAAAATAGGAGAGAATAGGTCTTATTTTAGGAATAAAACGATGGTAGTCCTACTTATAAATTTGTCCCCATTTAGCCTTATCCATAATATTTGAATGGTTACAATTCATTATTATTTTACACACACTTTACTAATTTAATACGGAGTACTAATTAGACAACTTTACTTTTTATAATAATCACAGCCTGTCACTCATGTTTTAGAGGGGTCATACTCCTCTCCATTTCCTTTTCTTCATTTACTCTCTTCATTTCTTTTTTACTCTATCTCTCTCCTTAAAATTAATAATTAAACATGATCTTTTTTTTCCTACCCCATCATTTCCCCACCTCTCTCTATCTCTCTCCCAATGAACCATTCCAGTTAATGGAGAGGAGCAAAATCCGTCTTAGAGGGTTAGAGGTATCAATGTTTTCTAATATACGAGGTAGTTTTTTTTTTTGGAACAAATATAGGAAGTATATTGAAAGTGACATATTTTTTAACTTGTAAAGTCTAAAAGATTACCTAAAAACATGTTAAGTTGAAAGTAGAAATTAATTATAGGATGAAGGTAGTTATCAGTAAAGACAAAATAACTATAAATAATGTGTAGTAGTCCCAACTATTAGATATAATGAAAAATATTACAAAAATAATTAATTCATATCCCAACTATTCAAAGATATAACCAAAATGGAATAATTTTTAATTAATTGACATCACATGTGATTGAACCCATCAAAATATGATACTTTAGGATGCATTTATTAGTTGGACTTATATCAGTCCCCAATTAAACCAAATTTAAATGGGAAAAATAATTAAAATACCCCAAACTTTAAAGGGGTGTGAGATAAACACCATAAATTAAACTTGTATATGTAATTTAAATACCCCAAACTTTATATAAGAAGTTATTTTAGCACCATGGCCATGTATTATTTCTTTACAAAATTATTAATTTTTTGTGTTTATTTCATAATTTGATAATTTTTAGCATTCATAAAGATACAATTAACATTCTAAAATTCCATGTACACTAGTGGAAAATATGGATTTAATAACGGTTATAACGGACTTTTAATAACGGTTCGGAACCGTTATTGTTCCAGCACCTATTAAAAGTCTGGCACTTTTAATATGGGTTCAGGAACCGTTATGGAATCTTTTTTAATAACGGTTCAAATGAGCTTTCAATAACGGTTATACGCCGATATTGTTGCAGCACATGTTAAAAGTCCGACACATTTAATAAGGGTTAATATATAACCGTTATTGAAACATTTAATAGCGGTTATACCTTAACCGTTATTAAAGGGTTTCAATATGGGATTAATCAACCCATATGAAATGTGTTCCTAACATTTAATTCATACCCAACTCTAAATATCAGAAATTTACACATCATATGAACATTTATCGCAACAAAGTAAACACATATCATTGCTCATAACTAATAAAATTCCACATTCACATTGTTTTCATCCAAACATATTCAGCAAAAATAGTCCTTAACATTCATCAAAAAGTAACTTTGAGTTCACAAGACTCGTCAAAAACTAACTTTGAGTTCACAAGAGTCATCAAAAACTAACTTTGAGTTCACAAGACTCATCAAAAAATAGCTAAGAGTCTAAAACTTATATCAAATATCCGTAGCTTCGCAGAAAAATGACGCCCAACACTCTTGAGTCTCGTTGATTTCTTGATCAGTGAATGACTCTTGTACGTTGAATGCCTACAAATTAAATAACGAAACTAAATGAATAAATACAAAAATCATGAAGCAAAAGAAATAACATGTACAGTAACGATAAAATCACAAGTATATGGGAATACCTTCATCCAAGAATCAACAATACCAGCAGAAACAACAGTAGTCATATGTCTCATAACATAGTAGCCACACTCATAACCACCTTTTTGCATTCGAGACTACAAATAAACAAGCGTAAAATTTTATTACACACAACTCATAACAAGTACTTTTTTAATTTATAAAATATACCCCATTTCTAAATTAAAATTTTCGGAAATTAGAAAAATGGCCCCGTTTTTCTAATTCATGTCAGTTTTTTAATGTCCGATATGAATAATGTTTTTTTTATTTATGAAAGATACCCGCTCAACTTATTCGAACTTTCATTATTTATAAATATGATCCCGCTCCTACATACTATAACGGTTCTAATTGAACCCATATTAAAACCTAGTTATAGAATACATATTTTGCACTAGTGGTAAATATAAATAGTAGGCTAAAGGGTCAAATAGGCCCCTGTACCTTTCCAAATTGTTCAATTTGCCCCCCGAACTAAAAAAAGCTCCAATTGGCACCCTAGACTCCATAAAAAGATTCAAATTTTACTTTTTGCAGGTCACAAGCCGGTCACCACCACATCACCCGGTAGGGTGCCAACTTAGGGGGTCAAATAAGCCCCTGAACCCGACTGAAATGTTCAATTTACCCCCTCAGCCCTTAAAATTTTTTTGACATTTTTTAGGGTTGAGGGGGTAAATTGAACGATTCGATCGGGTTCAGGAGCTTATTTGACCCCCTAGGTTGCCACGTCACATGCACAGTTGGCACCCCCACCAGGTGACGTGGCGGTGACCGGGTTGAAACATGCAAAAAGTGAAATTTGAATATTTTTATCGAGTTCATGGTGCCAATTGGAGCTTTTTTGGGTTGAGGGGGCAAAGTGATCAATCCGAAAGGGTACAAGGACCTATTTGACCCTTTAGCCTAAATAGTATTACCCACTACTATATATAATTCTAATGTATTCAATTTGCTATTTTAAATTATGCATTTAACACCATAAATTTACATTTTTGAAAGAAATCATATATAATCATGGTGTTAAAATAACTTTTTATATAAAGTTTGGGGTATTTAAACTACATATGAAAGTTCGGGGTGTTTATCTCACACCCCTTCAAAGTTTGGGGTATTTTAATTATTTACAACCGTAGAGTACACATAAAATAAAAACATACCATACCATACCATATGAGTTGACGGTAGTCCAAATCTAATTAAAACTAGGGGTGAGCATAAAACCCGAACCGAACCGGTACCGAACCGTCCCGTAATGGTACCGAATCGAATACCGGGTATTTAAATGGTTCTATAGATTTTTATCCCGTACCGAAAACCGTACCGTTTAAAACGGGTACAGGACCGGTCCTAGATTTTGAGAACCGAAAAATACCGGACCGAATCGTTCGAAAATAATGCATTTGAATTTTTTATATTTTTCAATACCAATAGATCTCTTTTATAGACCAACAATTTTATAGCCCAAGTATGTATATATTCATGTGTCCCTAAGATATCTAAATGTGTTTATATATATATATATATATATATATATATATATATATATATATATATATATATATATATATATATATATATATTGTTATTTTTTCTTTTTAGATAATTTATGTTATACTTTGATATGTATTGAAAGAATATTAAAATTTTAGAAATCATTAATGACTATTCATTTCTAGTAATGTAGCGTATATGACTTTTTGTTGTATCATGTTTGTGCAGTTTTTACAAGTTAATTAATATGGTTTAAATATTAGCTTAGCTTTCAAGGTTCAGCTATAAATTAAGTGAGAACTACGGAGTAATATTTAATCCAGAACGAAGAAGAATAACATTAAAGATTTCTATTATACTACCTCCGTCCCTTAAAACTTTGCCAAAGTTGACCGGCACGGAGAATAATAAAGTAAAAACTGTGTGGTTGAGATTTGTGAAGAGGAGAGAGAAAAAACAGAAACCACAAAATAATTGATTAAAAGAGAAAGTGGCAAAGTTTTTTGGAACGTCCCGAAAAGGAAAGTTGGCAAAGTTTTAAGGGACGGAGGGAGTATTCAACAATTTGATAATATTCGTTTTTATATTTTCACATGAATTTAGTAAATTAAAGATGATATTTATCCCGTGTGTCATCGTTTTGCTATACTTTTTCTTAGGTGTGTTGCATTAGTTGTGTATTTCTGAATTTTAGTACTACGTATGCAATTTCTTGTATTTATATCAACATTTCATGTGAGTTGGTTGGTGTGATGATATCTACTGCAAGATTTGTTCAAGTTTTTTAGCATGAGTTTGACATTGTACCGTACCATTTTGTACCGTTTTGAAACGACATGGTACCGAACGGTTCTATCGTTGGAACCGGACCATATCGGAGCGTTACAACCTCACGGATACATTGCGGGTTTCATCAATTTATCAGACCGTTTCGAACCGCACCCACCCCTAATTAAAACTAAATTGATCAAACTAAATGTAAACCAACAAGACATCGAAGTTTTTGCAATTCAAAACATCAAATGTCAAATAAATTTTACTTGATGGTTGGTACAAGATTTTGATGATGGGATTTTATTGATTTGGAACCTAAACGACGAGTCACTATCGATAAGAGACTTTTTTCAGAGAACTTTCAATAAGAAACTTGAAAAACAAAATGACTCACTATCTAAAATATTACTCCGTATAAATTTTACTCCCTCCGTATCGAATTGAATTACAAATTTTGACCGACACAAGGATTAATGAATGATAATAAATGATGTTTGCTTTTTACAGTTTTGTCCATCTTTTTAAAAGTAGATGCCTTTAAGTTAGTGGGGAAAAAGTAAAAGTAAGGATAAATTTGCTACTTTGTTCTTATTTACATACCTAAAATAGAAAGTGGAAAACCATTTTGGGACAACCATAATAGGAAATTTTACAAATCAAATTGGGACGGAAGGAGTAATATGTTTTTAAAATCTAAGTAATATTTATTTCCACTAAACTAATAAATTTTTGTGAAGAAAAATTCATCACGAATAAATAATGAAATTTTAAAGAAATAAATAAATCAAAATTTATGATAACTTAAATCAGAATTGTCAATTATTCCGATGGATAAAGTTCTTTGATTATTTCAATTGTTGAATCTGAGGTTTGTATAAATACTAGAATTTCATCTAGCGGTGCACGAAATAAAAATGCCAAAATATTTTTGAAAAAAGGTTGAATTTGAGGTCAATTGTAAAGTAGCACACATTAATTTGAGGTTATGCCCTTATTTGCCCTAGTTCTTTAAATACGGAGTAATGGTTTCTTGGTTTTTTGAAACTCAAGGATCCAGCTTCGTACATGTGAGTGGATTTCACTCACATATGTGATCTCTATAAACGCTTTATAATTGAATCTGGATTTCTGATGCGTGATTATCTATATATGTGATTGAGACTATCTGAATCGCCATCTCTAAGTTCGCATATCTTAGTAGATTTATCTGATAATATTTGTTCTTTAATTGCATAGATTCAAGCTGCTGCTTGGATGATGGCTACGAGAAGCATGGATAGATTCAGTGAACTTCCCTCGGAAATACTTGACAAGATATTGGGACTATTGGACATTCAAGAAGCGGCTAGAATGGCCATTTTATCTAAATTCTGGAGAGAGATGTGGTTCAATCTTACGGATCTCAATTTTGATTGTAACTTCTTTTATCACATTGAGAAGAAATATTCATCTGCTTACAGTCACTTCAGGACCAAAACGACAAAAACTGAAACGATAAATAGTGATATCTTGACCTCTGCTGGTATGTGTAGGTATCTTCCACCTTCTTTCTTGGAAGTTGCCAAGATACACCTTAGCATGGAGGCACCTTCTTGGAAAGAGCTCTCCAACAAATAGGTGTGGGAGAAGATATGGAGATAACTAGGAAGCTTGGATGCAACTTCCTCATGTCTCCAAACCAGCCCTATAAATAGAGTGCTCCATTGTTGTTCATAGTATCAGTTTAGAAAGTGAGAAAAGTGTGTGAAGAGTGAAATACACTTAGTGTAGAAGTGTATTGGTGGTGATTGGTTTTTTGTAATAGTTGAGTGTGAGAGTTTGCTCCTCCTATTGTAATTCTGTTCTTGATATTGAATAGAAAAATTTTCCAATCCCAACAAGTGGTATCAGAGCGAGGTTGAGCTTTCATACACTGTTTTCTCATTTTCATATAAATTTCTACAGGTTAGAAAATCGTGATTTTTCAAGTTGCTCGGAATCAGGATCTGATCATACCGTTAGATTCGTCTCGACGAGAAGAGAAATCTGGTATTTTTGGGGATTTTTTTGGCCACCGGAAGAGGTCGTACGCGCCGCCGGAAAACTGCCTGCATCATCACTGCGTCATCACGCAGTCCAGAAGAACAAGACGATCCACGTCAGCTGCCACGTCATCGCCACGTTGGACCACGTCAGCGACACGTGGTGCCGAGTCATCCGCCACGTCATCCACCCAAGCCGTCCGCTGTGAGCCACGTCAGACGCCACGTGGCTACACGTCATCGCCACGTCAGCGAGGGAGCAGAGCCACGTCATTCGCCTGCTGGGCTGCAGGCTGGGCTGCGCCTGAACCGGACCGAACCGGTTCGTGCTTTTGGAGGCCGGTTCACCCGTTTCCAGACCAGTTTTGGACGAGGTCAGACCGGTTCTTACCATTTTCGTCCATTCCGGATCCAACGGTGAGCTCCGTTTGTCCAAATTCGGCTTCGAAAATAAGGTACGAGATATATAGAGCGTTTTATTATGGATAAATCATCGTCGGACACCATGATTGCGCTCACATCCACAAACTACAATATGTGGAAGCCTCGGATGGAGGATTTGCTAAATTTGAGGGATTTAGCGGATCCTCTTGATAATAATGGTGTGAAACCGGATAAAAAGACGGATGAAGAATGGACAAAAATGAATCGAAAAACTGTCGCACAAATTCGACAATGGATAGATCATAGTGTGTTCCACCATGTTGCTCAAGAACAAAGTGCTTACACACTATGGGAGAAGCTTGGTAGCATGTATCAAGCAAAAACCGCCCGAAATAAGACGTTACTAATGAGGAGATTAGTAAACCACAAATTACGTGGGGGTATTTCGGTGTCAGAACACACCAGTCAATTCCAGGATCTTGTGAATCAGTTGAGCACCACCGGATGGGTTCTCAAAGATGAAGAGCAGGCGATACTACTCTTGAGCTCTCTACCTGACAGCTGGGAGACTCTTGTTGTCACTCTCAGTAATTCTGCTCCAAATGGGAAGGTGACTATGCAGATAATCACAGATGCCCTGATGAATGAAGAAGTCCGATGGAAGGAAGCCGGGACGGAACAATCATATGTCCTCATATCAGAAACTAACAGACGAGGGGGAGGCAGAAATGGAGGAACAAGTCGAGGTCGAGGTAGAGGTCAAGGTCAAAGTAGAGGAAATTCTCAAGTTCGCGGAAGATCACAAGAGAGAGGTATGTCCTTTGAAAACAATACTTGGTTCGAAGGATATTGCAATTACTGTAGTAATTATGGACATAGGAAAAGAGATTGTAGAAAGTTTCTACGAGAGAAGCCACAGACGAGTCAAAATACTAGCCAAGAAGATGGTGAGACCATGGTTAGTTTGTCATCAGACGTGTGTCTTGTTACACATGGTGAACAAGAATGTTTACACGTAGGCACTCATGATGTTGAGTGGGTGATTGATACAGCCGCATCATTTCACGCCACTCCACACCAGAACTTATTCACAACTTATAAGTCCGGAGACTTTGGAGCTGTGAAGATGGGAAACACCAGTTTCTCGAAGATTGTTGGCATTGGTGATGTGCACATAATAACCAATGTCGGATGCGCACTTGTGTTGAAAGATGTTCGACACATTCCGGATCTTAGATTGAATCTTATCTCCGGTACAGCTCTGGATCAACAAGGATATCTTAACCGATTCAAAGAAGGTACGTGGAAGCTATCTAAAGGTTCCTTGGTTGTTGCAAGAGGCCATATTTGTGGCACTCTTTATAAAACTCATGCAAAGTTGTGTCATCCGAGTCTCAATGCTGTTGAAGAAGAGATGTCACCAAACTTGTGGCACCGGAGGTTAGGTCACTTGAGCGTGAAGGGATTGGCAACTCTTGCAAAGAAGGAAGTCATTTCCATGGGCAAAGGTGTTGCCCTAGATTCATGTGAGCACTGTCTATTTGGGAAACAACACAAGGTTTCCTTCAGTTCTACCAAGAAGAACCATACAGAGTTACTCAGTCTTGTCCACTCTGATGTATGTGGACCCATTGAAGAGGAGTCACTTGGAGGAAGCAGATACTTCGTGACATTCATTGATGATGCATCACGAAAGGTATGGGCCTACTGTTTAAATCATAAGGATCAAGTGTTTGATCGATTCAAATCATTTCATGCCATGGTAGAAAGAGAAACATGGAAGAAGCTGAAGTGTCTGCGTTCAGACAATGGAGGAGAGTACACTTCCCGAGAATTCTCAGCATATTGTGCCGCATATGGAATCAGACATGAGAAGATGGTTCCACGAACTCCGCAACACAATGGTGTAGCCGAAAGAATGAATCGGACCATTATGGAGAAAGTTCGTTGCATGTTGAGTCTGGCTAAGCTACCTAAGCCATTTTGGGGTGAAGCTGTGCTGACAGCTTGTTATCTTATAAACAGGTCACCTTCTGTTCCTTTAAACTTTGAAGTGGCAGAGAAGAAATGGTCAGGAAGAGATGTTTCTTACTCTCACTTGAAAGTGTTCGGGTGCAAGGCATTTGCACATGTGTCCAAGGAGTTGAGACAGAAGCTTGATCTCAAGTCAAACCCATGTATCTTCATCGGCTATGGAGATGAAGAAGTCAGATACCGGTTGTGGGATCCCGAAGTGAAGAAAGTTATTCGAAGCAGAGATGTTGTATTTCATGAAAACGAGTTTCATGGGTGTGCTCCAATAATCTGCCAACAACATACTCCAGAAGACGAAGTGCCTGTATCATCAAACATTCCTCTCAGCGACGAGGAGATGCATGATTCTACTGAACACGAGAGTGATGGTTCAGCAGGTGATGATGATACTCACAGTGATGATATTCCTCAGCAAGGGGAGCCTTCATCTGAAGACGAATCTGAAGGTATTCATGTTTGACGTTCTATGCGAGGCATAGTTCCACAAAGAAAATACTCCACATCCGAATGGATACTTGTTGCCAGCGAGGGGGAGCCAGCGAGCACCGCAAGAACGAGAGAAATAAAGAAAAAGGTGGAGGGGGAGATTTGTAGGTATCTTCCACCTTCTTTCTTGAAAGTTGCCAAGAGACACCTTAACATGGTGGCACCTTCTTGGAAAGAGCTCTCCAACAAATAGTGTGGGAGAAGATATGGAGATAACTAGGAAGCTTGGATGCAACTTCCTCATGTCTCCAAACCAGCCCTATAAATAGAGTGCTCCATTGTTGTTCATAGTATCAGTTTAGAAAGTGAGAAAAGTGTGTGAAGAGTGAAATACACTTAGTGTAGAAGTGTATTGGTGATGATTGGTTTTTTGTAATAGTTGAGTGTGAGAGTTTGCTCCTCCAATTGTAATTCTGTTCTTGATATTGAATAGAAGAAATTTCCAATCCCAACAGTGTGTATGTAGTCAACAAAGTTCTCATAGAGCACAAAGGCCATATTCGCAAATTTGAATTTTCTTCTTTTCATCATGGGAGTTCACTTTCATCAATGTCATTTGACATTGATCAATGGCTCCTTTTGATCACACGAAAAGGGGTTGAAGAACTCAACATTGATTTTGAACGAAATGGAAAAGATGAATACTCGCTGCCAAAATGCATATTGTCTTGTCCAACGCTCAAGAGATTGTGGCTCCGTGGAGTCTCTGTTGGACCATTAAATATGCCTTGCATATTACCAAATGCCACTTCACTTTAATCTCTAAATGTTAAATTTGAGCCTAATGATGCTCTAGATTACAAGGTTAATGTTCCTATGCTCGAGAGTTTGTTGCTTATCGGATGTGATAACATGTTTAGTTTTAACATTACTGCACCAAAACTCTGTAAGCTAGTATTTCAGTCTTGCTGGTATGACCAGTGCAGTGGTTTTGTACCAGTTCACTTGGATTTGGGATCTCTCAGTACTCTTAGTTTAGATGCCCTTTCTCTCAAGGTAGTTAGTCCCTTTTTTCCAACTACTCCAGACTGCATTTTTACTTAGAATGCCTGGCAGAAACTAGTCTAACACTGTTTGCTGGTTTCTTAGAAATTTGTTGAAGACTTCCCAAGGAGTGGACCACAACTACAACCACATGAACTAAATGTGGAGTACCTCTGTTTATCAAATCCATATAATGAAGTTGATATTTCTTCTTCCTTCATTTATTTGTTGAAGTTATGTCCAAAGTTGCGTGAAATTCATATGGATATGGCGGTAATGTTTTTTACTAGTCAAATGATAGCTTTGAAGTATGCTAATTCTTTCCACTATTCTTGTCATGCATCTGTTCACTTACTTTGTTGTGAACTTTGTCTCATTGAGGATTTTTTCTCTTTCTTTCTGTTTCACTTCCTGAAGTTTGTTGAAGCTCTGAGAGAGTGTTTATGCACAAAGTCAGAGAATTCAAAGGAACTTTATCGCGTGGCTGAAACACACACCATGCTTCACACTTTAAGTATTGACTTCTTTGATGCATGTGAGAATTATCCGGCTTTGGTCAAGGGGCTAGTTTCCTCCTTTCCAACACTTGTGAAGTTTGTCATAAACGACTTCGACCCTGAATTTAATCAAGAGATTCTGGAATTTCCCACAAACGTTGAAATGAAGGTTGTTATTGAATGATTTCTGGATTGTGTGATTGGCAGTGGCCAGTGTGTAGGCATTGCGTTTGGCATTTGCTAATTGCTATCATTTCAATTCAATCAATGATTTCTTGATAGTGTAGCCAAATTATGTGTAGGCACTAGTTTTTGCTACAAACTCTATCAAGTTACCAGTATAGTATAAGTGTTGTTTTGCTGTAAATTTGTTAATGCTACTTTGGCTAATTTCTACTACGTATAATATCAGTTGAGGAATGTTCCTATTCCTACTTAAACATCTAGATGAATGAAATACAATATTCTAGCCTAGAAGGCTAGAATTGTAAATAATGTCTTGCCCCTGCCCACCCTCCCCAGGACCAGTCGGTTTGGGACATGAACCGACCAAGAATCAGACCAGGTTTGCCTGTAATCACAAGGATGGTGTATATGAGACAAGACTTTTCTAGTCATTTTAACAAGAGCCCACTCAAGATTTGAACGAGAGACCGCCACACAACACAATAATTGGTGAAACAAAACTCTCTTTCAAATTTTTAAAATTTATGAATGTCTTAAATTTGCCACTAAACACATGCGGATTATACCCTCTTTATCTAGTAATATGTGACACCATTTTTAAAATGAAAGGAAAAAGATTAATGATTTTCATTGTGTAAAGAAGTAAAATCGTTAGTGTCTGAATGTGATCAAAAGACTTTACATTCAGCCATTGAGGGCGTAACCACGAGGGGCAGTTGTCTTCAAGAGGGAAAATAGCTATGCATAAACATTACGGTGTTAACATTCAACGCACCGTATTTTTTGTAGGGATAAAAATAAACATCTTAGACATTGATTTACTCCTCATCTTCCACGGTTTGAATGATATTTGTATTAGATGTCCTCCAGTAGAGTAGCTTATGATGACATTCTGGGGGTATTTGGAATGATTTTGATGACATTCTGGGGGTCCAGCTGGGTTACGTTTCAACCAATTAAACTATAAGCCCTCAGGACTTGTCTGGTTCAAAGGAGGGGAGGGAAGTGGATAGTCATGGAGGGAAGGGGAGGGAAGAGAAGAAGGTTTTTGATAAAAAATTGTGTTTGGTCGGAGGAAATAGGGGGAAAGGTTTAATGAAAATATTTTCGCAATTTACCTTTATTTGCTCCCTATTTCCTTCCACCAAACACACACAAATCTCTCACTTCCCTCCCCTCCCCTCCGAAGCCCTCCAACCAAACGGGGCCTTAGGGAAGAGCGGATGGAAAGAGGAGGCCTTTGCTCTATTTGCTTCTTCCTCCGCCCAGGAATGAACAATTGGATAACAAAATTTTCTATTTTTTATATTTAGATATAGATATAGAATAAACTAAACTAGATGGCAGATCATATCAGGCCGGTTTGACGGGAACCGCTGTCCGGCCGAGGTTATTTGGGGACCTTTCCGGTGGAATTTTTTGATTAAATTTTTTGAGCATGTTCTTTATCAAGTCTAGTTTATCAATACCAAATTTAAGCTAAAAATTCAATCAGGAAGACAGTCAAATAAGTTCTTTACATAAATTGCGCTGTTTATATATATATATATATATATATATATATATATATATATATATATATATATATATATATAGAAAGCGGAGTTTTTGTAAAGAATTTATTTCATTGTCATACCGATTGAATTTTTAGCTGAAATTTGGTATGAATAAACTAGACTTGATAGAAGAATATACTCAAATTAATTCATCATAAAATTCGATGGCGTAGTGTCCGAAATGATCTCGTCCGGACGGCTGTTCCCTGCAGGCCGGCCGGACACGAATGAGACTCAACTAAACTATGTCTATTATAAATCATTTTCATTTAAGCAAGCGGCCCTTTCGCGAGTCAAACAGGCGGTACACTTTCCTGCTCGCATAGGCTCAAACGGGCGGGGCTCTCTATTTAATTGCAATGCCGGCGGTTGAGGCGGTTCGCCTTTAGTTATTTCAGTTTACATCCCAGACATAAATTATCCGATAGTCCCTTCAAAAAAAAATAATTTATGTCTACCGTCTCCGAACCGCACTAGTTATTCCCAGATTCGCCCTAGCTATTTATGTACGGAGTAATGGTTTATGGCTTTGCCGCAGTAGTTAAGCTCTTTTGAAACTCTATAAACGCGCGCTTTATAAACCGCTAGAATTGAATCTGGAATTCTGACTGTACTTATCTGTATTTTGCATTCCTTCTTCGTTCATACTAATACTAATCCATTTTTAACATCTTAAATGTTGTTGACACTTGAGACTACTTTAATCGCCATATCCTAGTTCTGTATCTTAGTGGATTAGTTATAAAATATTTGTTCTTTAATTGCATATATTCAAGCTGCTGCTGGGATGCAGGCTACGAGAAGCATGGATAGATTCAGTGAACTTCCCTCGAAAATACTTGACAAGATATTGGGATTATTGGCCATTCAAGAAGCTGCTAGAATGGCCATTTTATATAACTTCTGGAGAGAGATGTGGTTCAATCTTAGGGATCTCAATTTTGATTGTAACTTCTTTCATTACATTGAGAGGAAATATTCATCTGCTCACAGTGATGTCATGACCAAAACAACAAAATCTGAAATGATAAATAGTGATGTCTTGACCTCTGCTGGCATGCATATAGTCAACAAAGTTCTCATGCAGCACCATGGTCATATTCGCAAATTTGAATTTTCATTTATTCATCATGGGAGAAGTTCGATTACATCACGGGCATTTGACATTGATCAATGGCTCCTTTTGATCACACGAAAAGGTGTTGAACAACTCGATATTCGTTTTCTAGGAGAAAAAGATGAATACTCACTGCCTAAATGCATATTCTCTTGTCCAACACTCGAGAGATTGTGGATCCAGGGAGTCTCTGTTGAACCATTAAATATGCCTTGCATATTCCCAAATGCCACCTCACTTGCTTTTGTAAATGTTAAATTTGAGCCTAATGATGCTCTAGATTGCAGGGTTAATGTTCCTACGCTCGAGAGACTGTTGCTTATCGGATGTGATAACATGTTCAGTTTTAACATTACTGCACCGAAACTCTGTGATTTAAAGATTCATTCTTGTTGGTATGAGGAGTGCAGTGGTTTTCTCCCAGTTCACTTGGATTTGGGATCTGTTAGGACTCTTGATTTAGATGCCCTTTCTCTCAAGGTACACATTTCTAATTCTTTTTCAACTACTCCGAACTACACATTTATTTAGAATGCCCGGTAGGAACTATCTGACATTGTTCGCTGGTGTCTTAGAAATTTGTTGAAGACTTCCCAAGCAGTGGACCACAACTACAACCACATGAACTAAATGTGGAGTACCTCTATTTATCAAATCCATATAATGAAGATGATGCTTCCTCTGCCTTCATTCATTTGTTGAAATTATGTCCAAAGTCTCATGAAATTTATATGGATATGGCGGTAATATTTTTTTCTTAGGCAAATAATATTCCAGTTTTCCCAATATTATTGTCACGCATCTGTTAATTTACTTTGTTGTGAACTTTGGCTCATTGAGGATTTCTTCTTTTTCTTTCTATTGCACTTCCTGAAGTTTGTCGAAGCTCTGAGAGATTGTTTAGGCACAAAGTCAGAGAATTCAAAGGAACTTTATCGCGTGGCAAAAACACACAACTTGCTTCACACTTTGAGTATTGATTTCTTTGATGCATGTGAGAATTATCTACCTTTGGTCAAGGGGCTACTTTCCTCCTTTCCAACACTTGTGAAGTTTGTCATAAACAACCTCAACTCTGAATTTCATAAACAGATTTTGGAACTTCCCAGAAACGTTGAAATGGAGGTTGTGAATTTTGAATATTGAATGATGTTTGGAATTTGTGATTGGCAGTGTAGGCATTGCGTTTGGCATTTTCTATCATTTCAATTAAATCAATGATTTATGGATAGCGTAGCCAATTATGGGTAGGCAGTAGTTTCGCTACAAACTCTATCAAGTTACAGTATAATATAAACATTGTTTTGTTGTTGATGCTAATTTGGCTAATAACTACTACGTCTAATATTAGTGGAGGATTGTTATTATTCCTACTATGAATGAATGAATGAGTATAAAACCTGAATTGTGCATTAACTTTTTCTATTGAAGACTAATTTGTTGGAATTTGGCATTCGACTGTGAGTTACCCAAACCAATTGAGATAGGTGTACTCCAAGTCTCCAAATCTCCATACTGCCCCAAAGCGGATTTCTTGCACATTACCAGCTTTGTTAAAGGAATACCAGCTTAGTTTTTTTGACCAACTTGCTGTGATGAGTGAAGTCATGCTAAATGCCTTCTACATTAAATATGTGCAATGTATTATTGTTCTCAAGGATGGAAACATTAAATCGGATAACCTCATCTTTTTAGAGAAGATGAGTAATAAGTAAATAACAACCGATGAGCCCAATGCCTAAAATGGGCTGAGGAGAGTCCAGCAAGCAGATGAGCCAGCTCATTAACCTCATGCAATACATGTCGGTACCGGATGCCTTTCCTAAAACAAATCTGCCTAAAACCATCAATCTCCTCCATCCATTGATCTCGTTTCCTACCTGAAACGTAATCCACAATATCCTCAACATTACATTCAACCTGAAAGCTCTCAAATCCTTTGCTAACAGCCCACGTTGTTGGAAAAGTTATCAATTGGGTTAACATTAATACCCCAAAAAGAAAAGTATGAAGCAATACTCGAAATCTCGAATTAAGTAACTAGGGAGTATTGCTATTGGAAGTTGGAATACGCATGGTCCCGAGTGAAACGAGATCGATCGGTTTATGCCCGATTCTTGTTTTCATATAAATGTTTATTTTTTTGAGAAAAAAAAACGCTTATATTTATATCATTAAAATTTGAATCGTTACATCAAACTCAAAGAGCCCAATACTCACAAGTCACAACAACTTTCAGTAATCAACTATCATTATCAATCTTACAGCTTATACATAGAAACGATCATTTCTCAAAGAACAATACGAATCGCTAACCACCAAATGAGTGTGACACGGCAATCACTAGCCATATAAATCCTTCTAACGACATAATAGCTTGCATAATTGCTAATCTAAAACTAAATACATCAACAAAAAATAGAGCAATGTAAACAAACATAACGCGAAAATAGGACCATAAGAAATTAAATAACTATTAAAATCTCCAAACTTGTTCATGCCAATTTTCTTGAAACAAAATCTTCCAAACCCTGACACCTCAATCACTCCAAGGCGGTGGTTCAGAAGGGGGTGGACCGTCTATTTGTCTTCTCTCTTGTTCATCCCTTCACCTCTCCCCGTTTGCTCGTCGCCCGTGCCGCCACCTAATATGATCGTCGCGTACCTGCCAATGGTACCTAGTTTCTCCTGTGACACCATCCCTAACACCATCCCTCAGATGTAATTTTTTGCTAAATAAAAATTTCAAGAGTATGATGAATAAGATATTGGTAATTTATCCTAGCTGCGCGACTGCGCTATTAATTTTAGCAATATTAATTTAAATTGTGAAACTCATGTAGAGGCAAAGACCGCCTAGTGAATTCCGGGGTCGCATACTATATTTATATGGGACACGATAATATGTTATGTCGGGAGAATTAATTTATTTCGGACCAAGGAAAGTGTTTATAATTAAAATAAATATCAATTGGAAGGTTAGACAATAAAGAGAGCAAGGAGCTCAAAGCCCATTTAATATACCTATTAAAAGTTAAGGAGCGTAAAAAGAAAACCTAAAACTACTCACTTTTGATGCAGCAGAACCAAAAAAAATACAAGAACCTTCTTCTACAACAACTTCTTCTTCTCTTGATCGTTTTCACTCGTTCCAAGCTTGGAAAGGTCGTGGAATCGGATCTTGAACTTCAAGGAGTAAACATGCATAGAAGGTGGCTGGGATTCACGCCATTTCCACGTGGGATGACGGTTTTATGCTTTGTAACTCTTGGGTCTCGTTATGATTTTACCTTTGCCAAACAAAACTTTCTATTAACATACGATAGTATTTTTTAATTCCCAAGAGTTACCCAACCAATTGGGACGGGTGTACTCCAATACTCCATACTCCCCCAATGCGGATTTCTTGCACATTACCAGCTTTGTTAAGGAAATACCAAACTTTAATCAGTTAAAGTTCTGTTGTTAGGAGTGTTTAAACAATTTAATCGTGTGTTTGTTTTTTGACCAATTTGTTTTATGAGTGAAGTCACGCTAATTGTCTTCTATATTAAATTTCGGCAACATATTATTATTCTCAAGGATGAATACATTAAATCATAGAATCACAACTCATTAGAGAAGATGAGTAAATAACTAAATAACAAACAACCTTTCAATTGTCAAATTAATACTCTAATTAGGTAACTAGTTTAACTACGATTGGAATTGCATTGTCCCGAGCCTGAGGGTGATCGGTTTATGTTCGACTCTTCACTGACTTGTGCATACGCCCACGCCCCCATGCGAACTATGGGTTACCATAAAACCGCATGTGACATTATAAATATTTACTTTCTGTTTCCTTTTCATCTGCAAATTAATTTTGTATCAGTTTCTTATTTATTTCGTGATGTCTATCTATTAATGCATTGCTTAATACAAATTGAACAAGTTGTTGGGTTATGTCAAGAATATTACTAAAAAGTAAAGAATGAACAAAAAAGTGACCTCTTTTAAAAAGTTCCAAAAATGTGACTAAAAAAGAGTAAGGAGACTATTTTACCCCTATTAAACTAACTGACCCTCTCCAGGGACTTCTGTCTAGTGACCAAATGATACAGTGACTTCTGTCCAGTGACCAAAACGACACAATGATTTTCGTCCAGTGACCAAACGACACAGTGACTTAGGGCCCAGTGACCAAAGGACACAATGACCAATTCCCATAGTGACATACTCGTAGATTAACTGTGTTGATTAAGATTAGTCCCTGCACAGTGACTAACCATTTACACTTACTTGGTCTAATAATGACCACTGGCAGCCACCTTCGGCGACCACCACCTCCGACGACCGGCGGCGACTACCACCTTCGGCCACCACCAGCCCCTTTAGCAACCACCACCCTGAAACAAGTTGCCCCTGCCTAGTAACAGCCTGCCTCCCCAGCACCACCCTTTCCCGACGGCGACCGCCGCCAACCCACTCCCGGGGGCTACCGCTGCCACTCCTCGCCCGCTAGGGCGCTAGCCCCCAACCTGCAATCCAGCAGCCCCCAGCCCGCTCTCCAGCAATCTCCCTAGCCACTTCCCCTTCGCATGCGGTGCAGACCCCTTCCAAGCCATAGCCTAACCCTCTCAAGATCTCAACCTCCCCATCTGTCGGACTCTACCCCAAAACCCTAGCCCCCACCCAACATTCACCTCACCATCGCACCATCGCGTTCAATCGTAATCCTAGCCATCGATCTGAAACCCTAGTCGTCAGTTCCATATGAGGCGACGTTTGTTGGGGTGGCGCAGTGGGAGATGGTTGGCGGCTCCATAGGACAAGGGAGGCAGACGCGAAAACTGTGGCGGTGTTTGAAAGAGGACGGCGGCGTCGTACGACAGTGGAGGGAGGCGGCATACACTGGGCGGCGATGGTGGTTTCTTGTGTCGGCAAGGCCTCGTCTTCCTCATGCAGAGGATTTGAAATCAATTGCAAAGGATCTGCCGGATGCAAGGTTTCAATATTCATTGCAAGGGTAATTTAGTCTTTCAATTGTATTTTTATCACTTTTCTGTCTAAAGAAACAGATGGTCTCTTTTTTGTCCAAAAACCACCTGCAGGAATTACAATAGAGTTGTCTGTTGACCGACAACTTGATAGAGTATATATCTAGAGAGAAGTGAGAGCTAGAGAGAGAAGTGCAAGTAATGCTTCAATAGAATGATTTTGTAACCCCTATAACTACCTCCAGAGGAAGTATTTATAGGAAAAATACGGGCTGGGCTCCCAAGCCTTGGGCTTGGGAGGCCCATTTACATCTGGACCGCTATTGGGCCGAATACAGAGCCACTGGTGGGCTATATAAATGAATAAGTGTAAAATCCGGTTCTGGGAGACTTCCGTGGCCGACGAGGGTCTTGGCCGACGAGGGAACGACCGATGAGGGCACGGCCGATGAGGACACCCTGGTTCCCTGGCTTCAGGGTCATATTCTGAGTCGGCCCCTCTTCGACCGACGAGGGTCTTTGGCCGACGAGGGCACCGCGTAGTGGCTGTGCTTTCTGTTCTTCTGAGTATGTGGGTCCTGGGGCCTAGACCCATATACTCCATCAGGAGTCCCCCACTCTCTAAGCTGAGATGTAGACGAAGTGAGGGAGAGTAGATTTCCGTGCTTGATGCTTCTTGGCCGGTGCGGGACCACGTTGGCCGTTCTCTGTCGCGGCGTTTGGTGGCCCTGTTCTGAGTTTGGCCGTTGCCTGCCCCCTGATGCGGACGGGGAAGGCTATTGTTCCTTTGGTGCGCTTTGTTTGTGGATGATGAGTGTTCTGGCACGAGTGGCCGATGAAGGTAGTGTCTATCCTTGGTTGTTGATTGGGTAAGTTTCCCTTTTGGGCTGGTGAGGTCGTAGGGGTTGCGTCTTTGTTTTGGGTGGCCGATGAGGGCACTGTGCATTCCTTTTGGCCGTTGTTGATGATGCTCTGTGTTTTTGGACGACAAAGCGTCATGTTGCCCAAGGTTTTGGGGATGATAACACTGTCTGGCCGAAGATGAAGTTGTGAGGACCTTGGGGCCGTTGCGGTACATGGACGACAGTGATTTAGGTATGTTAACCTTTCTCTTGATTTCTGGCTTGACAGTGATGTGTGGTTTCAAGGCCGATAAGTGTCCTGTGATCTCAAGCTTTGTTGTGGCCGAAGGTGCACCATGATGTTATGGACGTTGTGGTGCATGTCTTGATATTGTAGTTGTGGACTTAGTGTATTTTTGGATTTCTTTGATTTCGCCTGTTATTCTTGAGGTCGGTGTAGTCCCCCAGTCCCCCACTGCTTCAAGCCGAAGAGTGAGTGAGGGGTGAAGGAGTAGTTCGAAACTTAGGCCGAAGTGGGATCCTCATACTGCCCTTGAATCCAACCCTTTGGCGATTTCCTGACCAAGGTAACCCTGTGGGAGAACCCTTGGACGCAGGTCGCTTTCAAAGGGTTATCATCAAGGGTTTTAGTGCGAGGGCCTCATGGCCGTTATGTTCCTTTCCTTTGGGGTATTGTGGCCGTCTAGATGGCCGATGCGGGTGTTGTGGGGTAACCGTTGTCTGTTGTTGGCCGTTGAGTGCCCTAGCCGTTGTGAGTGTTATTCTCCCCTTCCCCGTTCCGTAGAGACTGCTTTGCCAGTGGGCTTTTGATCTGTGGATTGGGCTTGGCCTATTAATGACGTGGTGGCGTCCCGTTGGTGGCCGTTGGTGTGGCCACTGGGAGGGTGCCACGTGTAGTGATAGAGTATATATCTAGAGAGAAATGAGAGCTAGAGAGAGAAGTGCAAGTAATGCTTCAATAGAATGATTTTGTAACCCCTATAACTACCTCCAGAGGAAGTATTTATAGGAAAAATACGGGCTGGGCTCCCAAGCCTTGGGCTTGGGAGGCCCATTTACAACTGGACCGCTATTGGGCCGAATACAGAGCCACTGGTGGGCTATATACATGAATAAGTGTAAAATCCGGTTCTGTGAGACTTCCGTGGCCGACGAGGGTCTTGGCCGACGAGGGCACGGCCGATGAGGACACCCTGGTTCCCTGGCTTCAGGGTCATATTCTGAGTCGGCCCCTCTTCGGCCGACGAGGGCACCACGTAGTGGCTGTGCTTTTTGTTCTTCTGATCGAGTATGTGGGTCCTGAGGCCTAGACCCATATACTGCATCACAACTTGTCTGCTGGAGACAAACATGTGTACACAAAAGGTGTACACATTTGGTGTACACCAAGCATTTTTCCAGGTATTATATTGGTCATTCTTTTCTAAGTTGTTTATTTAGATGATTGAAGAAAAAGTATCCAAAAGGCAATGTAAAATTGTAAGACTTGCTTACATCTTGTCAAACTTGTTTTTAAATGCAAAAATTTGTTATGTTTTCCCTCTCAAAATATGAGTAACATGTCAATTCTTATTGTCATTTCGGAGTCATTAATACCAAATAGTGGCAGTACTAGGCGTGAAATGATAATATATACTGTCATTAATGACTATATTTTTCAATTATGGAAATTATGATTTCTATTTTGGAAAAATATAGCAGTCCTATTTTAAAATTTTAAAATGTATTTACTCCTATGACGGAAGGCGGATCAGGAGAGCAAGGTTGGAAGGAATCTACAATTGGAATGGGAGATAGCACAACTAAAGATGGGGATTTTGGAAGCACCGAGGAAGTGTCCGGAGAGCAAAAATAAAGAACGATATGGGAAGCACATAAACAGGGGGCCAAGTAGGGATAATATGGCTGTTGACAAGCCAAAAAACGGGGAGTAGACGGGCTCAAATGTTTAAGCCCGTCGAAGGAACAATCTCAGGTAGCAAGCTTGGGATGGCGATTGGCAGGTTATTACTGGAAGATGGAGCGGAGTTTTTATTTTTTTACCTGCAATTATCGTCTTTGGCTCAGTTGCGCACTTGCGCCCATTAATGGATCAACAAGTTATATTGCTTCTTGTGATGTGATTAAATTTGAGTCTGATTCGAGGGTCGGCGGTTGCTAGCGATCTTTTTGTCTTTTTAGCCCATATATGTATGCTGTGAAATCAATATAAGCTACCTTCCATCAAAAGAAAAAATTCTAAAATTAAAAAAAAATGATGTATAAATTACTAATAGAGTTTCCACGAACAAAAATATGACTTGTTATGTTTTTGGACAAAAATGTGATTACTCATTTTCTAATTTTAAAATAAGCCATGTTTTTGTCTTTTGAATTTAATTTAGTAATATTCATGGAAAAATGTCTTTCACTTTGGTAAACTGGACTTGAAACTAAATCAAACTGAAACCAAATCGAAAACAAACTGATACACAAATGATTTTAGTTTGATACAATATGCTTCAAACCGAGTAAACCGAAACTGAACCAAAACAAGAACAAAGAAACATATTTGTAAACCAAATTGTCCATCCTTAGTTCAAATTCAACATTACCCGATGCCCCAAAAGATTTATGAGAGAATTTCTTTAACAGGAGTAAAAAATATTGAAATTACAAAATAGGACTATCATGTTTTTTAATCGAATAAATTTTTGTCAAGTTTGACATTACTAGGCTTTAAACATCATCTTTTTTCCAAACTTGACAGAATTACTCATATTTAGGGAATAAAAAGATGAAATTCTTATTTTGGAATTTCAAAAGGTTTTTCTCGTATTTAACAAAATTTCTAAAGTATGAAAAATCAACTTTCGAGAAGTTTTAGAGAAAAAAATCCAGTTTTGATCCCATGACTATTATACCATTTCCACATTTAGACCCTTACTTCCAGATTGTCCACATATAATCCGTGACCTTTATCCCGTCACCTCCCTCGTCTTTTCGGCCAAAATTCCGGCAAATTTGATGCAGATTTTAGGTATGAAAAACCAAATTTAATGTAAAGACCGATATGAAAAACCCAACCTTATATAAAATTTAATGCAAATACTGATTCTGAAGTTGATAAGTGGGCTAAATTTGCCGGAATTTTAGCCGAAAGGACGAGGGGTAGTGAGATGATAATGGTCATGGACTAAATGTGAACAATCAGAAAGTAAGGAACTAAATGTGAAAGTGATATAATAATATGACTATCGTCTTCACAAGTTATTCTCCGATTTGCCCTAGTTGTTAAAGTACGAAGTAATGTTTCTTGGTTTGCGGGTGTGGTGAAGCATTGGTAAGCCAACGATATAGCTTCGTGCGTTGTTCCATGTGAGTGGATTCACTCTTTAATCTGTTAGTTCTGATAGCGCACCGACCCAGATGCGTACTTGTTTCGATTTTGCATTCTCCTGATATTCATATTCATTATTAACATCTTAAATGTATTTGAGACTTTATTTTGATCGCCATCTCCAGGTTCGCGTATCTTAGTAGTTTAATTTTAATATATTTGTTCTTTAATTGCATATATTCAAGCTGCTGTTTGGATGATGGCTACCAGAAGCATGGATAGATTCAGTGAACTTCCTTCGGAAATACTTGACAAAATATTGGGATTATTGGCCATTCATGAAGCTGCTGGAATGGCCATTTTATCTACCTTCTGGAGAGAGATGTGGTTCAATCTTAGGGATCTCGATTTTGATTATAAATTCTTCTGTTACATTGAGAAGAAATACTCATCTGCTCACACTGATGTCAGGACCAAAACAACAAAAACTAAAACAATGAATAGTGATATCCTGACCTCTGCTGGCATGTATGTAGTCAACAAAGTTCTCATAGAGCACAAAGGCCATATTCGCAAATTTAGATTTTCTTTTTTTCACCATGCGAGGAGTTCACTGGCATCACGGTCATTTGACATTGATCAATGGCTCCTTTTGATCACCCGAAAAGGGGTTGAAGAAATCGACATTCGTTTTGACCGAGACGGGCAAGATGAATACTCGCTGCCAAAATGCATATTTTCTTGTCCAACGCTCAAGACATTGCGTCTCCATGGAGTCTCTGTTGAACCATTAGATGTGCCTTGCATATTACCAAATGCCACTTCACTTTCTTTTGAAAATGTTGAATTTGAGCCTAATGATACTCTAGAATATAGAGTTAATGTTCCTATGCTTGAGAGTTTGTTGTTTATCGATTGTGATAACATGTTCCGTTTTAACATTACTGCACCAAAACTCTGTGAGTTACATATTCACTCTCCGTATGACCAATGCCGTAGTTTTCTCCCAGTTCACTTGGATATGGCATCTGTTAGTACTCTTATTCTAGATGCCCTTTCTCTCAAGGTATGTTAGTCTAATTATTTTCAACTAGTCCGGAGTACACATTTATTTATATTGTGCAACGGAAACTACTCTAACATTCTTCGCTGGTTTCTTAGAAATTTGTTAAAGACTTCCCAAGAAGTGGACCACAACTACAACCACATGAACTAAATGTGGAGCGCCTCTGTTTATCAAATGATTCACATTTATATACTGAAGATGGTGTGTCTTCTGGCTTCACTCATTTGTTGAAATTATGTCCAAAGTTGCGTGAAATAAATATGGATTTGGCGGTAATATTTTTTCTTAAACTGATAATCGCTTTGAAATATTCTAGTGTTTTCCAATACAATTGCCATGCGCCTGTTAATTTACTTTCTTAAGAACTTTGACTCATTTTGTATTTGTTCCTTTTTCTTTCTGTTGCACTTCCTGAAGTTTTTCAAAGCTCTGAGAGATTGTTTAGGCACAAAGTCAGAGAATTCGAAGGAACTTTATCGCGTGGCTGAAACTCACAACTTGCTTCACACTATGAGGATTGACTTCGTTAATGCATGTGAGAATTATCCGGCTTTGATCAAGGGGCTGCTTTCTTCCTTTCCAACACTTGTGAAGTTTGTCATATACGATCTCGACTCTGAATTTAATAAAAAGTTTTTGGAATTTCCCACAAACGTTGAAATGAAGGTTGTGAATTTGAATACTGAATGATTTCTGGGTTGTGTGATTGGCAGTGTAGGCATTGCGTTTGGCATTTGCTATCATTTCAATTCAATCAATGATTTGTGGATAGCATAGCCAATTATGGGCAGACGGTAGTTTTGCTACAAACTCTATCAAGTAATATAAGTATTGTTTTGTTGTTAACTTGTTAATGCTATTTTGGCTAATAACTACTGCGTAGAATATTAGTGGAGGAATGTTATTATACCTACTTTGAATGAATGAAGTGAATGAATGACTCTGTAAAACCTGAACTGTGCAATGAGTTTTTCAAGTGAAGACTAATTTGTTTGGAATTTGGCATGCGAAACGTCATTGCAGAGAATTAAGTTAGTCTCTCCAGTTTAGTTTGATATAGATAGTGTTTTTGTATTACTTCATCACTTGGACTCTTGCAGTGTGAGTACTGGTATGACATAATCAAATTGATTTTTACCATTGCCAATCAAATCTTTCTACTTGCATACTACGTATTTTTTAATTCCCATGAGTTACCCAACCGATGGTTGAATTACCTACAAAAAAGTCGTCAAAGTGCACAAATAGGATTACGAGCCTGTTTGGTAGCACAAATAGCATTGACTGATTCTGCTGATTTAAGAAAAATATTTTTAAAATATATTTTATTAATAAAATAAAGAAAAAATTATATGTAAAAATAGCTAAAATGGTCATCTACAGTAACTTCAGCCAATACAGTCAGAAAAGTAACTCCAACTTTACTTTTTCTGCTTATTACATAATTCAGTGCGTGAAAACAAAAGTTACGTGTTTGATGAAAAAGTTGGCTGATAAGCTTGATAAGCCGAAAAATGATGTCGTCAAACGGCCTCTACATGTTTTTAATTCCCCCTAGTAGGACTGGTTATGTGTGCTTGGACAAGTATACTCTTGTAGCTTTTGAAATGTTTTAATTAATAATAAAATCATAAAAAATAATAAAAATGTAAAAAAAATAATAAAAAACGTCAAAAAGTATTAAAAATTTTATAAAATATTTATAAAATAAAAATCTAAAAAAAATTAAAAAAATTAAAAAATTAAATAAAAAGGTTAAAAACGTAAAAATCAATCAAGTCTTCGGGCGGAGGTAGAATGTTTTCTAATATACTTGAAAATGAAATATTTGTAGAATCAATCAAAATTACCTAAAAATCTATGAAGTCAAACTAGAAATTTAATTACACGACGAAGGGAGTAATGAATAAAGTGAAAACAACTTTAAAGTGAGAAAAGTGTACTCCATCCGTCCCATTCTAAGAGAAAACGTGTACGGTGTACCATGTCCCTCTAACTTTTACAAAAACGTGTTTGTGATTAATATTGAATTGATAAAGTGAAAAAAGTAGTCTCTTTGTCATTTTAAGGTTCATATTTTTCTTTTTTTTTACGTCCCATATAAAAGTTTCAACTTCTATTTTAGGAAATAAATAACACTTTTAAATGATAATTTAATCATCAAACATTTATAATATAACATCTGCACGAATCATCAAATATTTAAAATAATATATCTATAACATCTTTAGAATATTCGGGAGATGATTTGGATTTTGACGCGGTTTCAAATGAAGGGTATTCGTGATATGACTCAGATAAAGAGCGGCTTGCTCGACTATGTGAGCCTAATTATAAGATGGCTACTCAACTTAAGTTTAGATGAAACGCTCGACTTCAAAATAAAAATGGGATTAAGGGTTAGATCCACCTTGATATTTTGCGATTACATCTTCATAGGGAAGATTTGTCATGATTTTTGGAAGGGTGGCTTCGGCTTATTTATGTGGTATTGTTGAAGACCTTGGCTATCAGTTTCTATCTTCAACAGGAGGAGAGCTTCTTTTTTGGGTATGGATCATTAGCGTGTTATTTCAATAACTTTATGTTATATCTTTAACTTTCTACCTTCATTGGCGGTTGTACTCTTTTCTATATTTTGATATAACTTGTATTTTTGTTGCAAAAAAAACATGGCAGATGTCATCAATGACCTCATTATATTATATATGTTGGAAAAATGTGTTAAAAGTTGCATTAAATGGTCATTTTGTGGCAATTATTTTAGTGGGGTCCACTTCCGATTTGGGTCGGGTCAAAGTGGTTTCGGATTGTCCTTGTTAAGGGCTCCAATTCGATTAATGGTACGCTCAAAACGGATAACAGGTGAATGAGAAATTGATTCTCGAAGTTCACTCATTGAAATGGAAAAACTGGGAAAATGATGGGTTTCTAGTGTGTTTTATACCACACCGAAAAACTCAAGGGATTTTCACCCCTTATAAAGAGAAGCCTCTTTTAAGTAGTTAAGATTCCTAAAGGTAAATGCTCTCTCTCTCGCGCGCGGGGAGGAGGGGGGGTGCCGATCAAATCCCGAAAACGGAAAAGAAAAACCGCGACTCGTATGCGCGGGCGGCCTGCGGACATGAATGCCGTCCGAAAAATCTATAATTCAAAGATACTATTTAATTTTTGTTTCTTCCCGTAAACGTTCCTTTTTTTTCCAGACTGGCAGAATCGTTCTGTTTCTGTCCGGACCTGAAGAGGGTTCTGTTCTCAACAGAACCACTCCGCTTCTGTTCGGTTCAACAGAAACCCTCGAGGTATTCTATCCGCAACAGAAACCCTCAAGGTCTTTTGGTCGCAACAGAACGCTTGAGGTATCCTGGTCGCAACAGAAGGGCTCGAGGTCTTCTGGTCCGTTACAGCAATGAATGCCCAACGTTCTTCTCTTTTAATGTTGCGTTAAATGGACAGTTTATGGACGATTCAATGCCCAACGGACTGGTCATTGATGTCCAACATTCAGGTCCATTAACACACCATTTAACACACAACAAATCCTCCTATAAATACCTGGCATATGCTTTGCAACAAACACACGGTTTTACACGTTCACAAGCAACCATACACACGTTTTAGCTCTGAAAAACACCTACAGCTCTCCGAAAAAATCCTAAGTGTTTCTCCTTTGTTCTCGTTCGCCGGAACTCTCGTTTGTGTGCTCAAACGTTAATTCGTTAGCCACCGTATCCTGGGAAACGGCCGTTGCAACGCTCCTAGCACCGTGGGAGGCGACGAATACGTTTTAAGGACATCGGGCGTAGCACGAGCTCTGGCTAAACTCTGTCCCATCTCTTTTTCTGTTTTTCTTTGGCTATTTCAATAATTAATTATTTTTATTAATTAATATTTCTTCGTTTTTCCGAGACACACCCAACAATATACACATCAAAACTATTTTTCAAAATATACTCAAATAAACTTATTTAAATTTTTTTTTTAAATAACCGTGCCATTTTACAATAAGAACCTAATTTAAGCGAGATGGATGTTGTAATAAACTAAGAATGATTTTGAACCAAACAAATATTACAAAATTTTATAAAGAACATTAGTTCCGGCCACCTTTTAGCTCTCTTTGTAAAACATGTATGCTTTATTTAGCTTGCGGTTCCGACTCTACGTTTTATAATTCAATTCCAAACTATAGTCTCTCATTTAGATAAATGCTCAACTTAGACATTAGTTTCCAAATCCAACTCATTATGTCAAACATAGCCCATACGGTAGGTCTCGGGTTCGAAACTACATAAAGGAACTTTTAGCCCTGTTTACACTAGGTTCCCCTCGGCGCCCTCGACCCTCGACCATCCAAGAGTAAAAAAGAATAAATTTGCCGAAACAGATCAGAGCACACCGGAAAATTTTAATCAAACTAATGACATTCTAAGTATAAAAAATATATTTGATGGTTGATAAAAAAATTAAAAACCAATAGAAGCTTTTTGGTGACCATGTTTTTCGCTTCATCAACATTATCGACCTTCTTTTAACTAAACACGTAATTTCTTATTTCACGTGATAGAGTGCATAATAATAAAAATAAGTAAGGTTGCAGTTACTTTTCTGACTGAATTGACGCTGCTGTAGAAGACAATTTTAGCTATTTTCACATAATTTATTTATTTATTTTATTATTAAAATATATTATAAATATGTTTTTCATAAATCAATTAATTCAGCCACTTCGATCAGAACTTCATAAATGTCAACAGAATTAGTACATTTAGCCAAATCAAGTGTTACCAAATGCTTAATTATTTCCAAAAAAACAAACACTTAATTATATGGAAGATTTAACGTTATATTCATTCATGTTGAGTCTGAAACTCTGAACTTGTAACGAGTTGGACATCTTGAATGTGATTGAGACTTTATTTATTGGAGAAAATAATTAAAATACCTCAAATTTTGAAGGTGTGTGAGATAAACACCCCGAACTTTCATATGTAATTTAAATACCCCAAACTTTATATAAAAAGTTATTTTAACATCATGGTTATGTATTATTTCTTTCAAAAATGTAAATTTATCACTACAAAAAAACACGTCGTTTGTCACGGATTTTGTCACGGACGGCAGTTCAAAAAATCCGTGACAAATGATTTTTTGTCACGGATTTGTCACGGATCCCATCCGTGACACCAGGGGCGTGATAACGTTTTTGTCACGGAAATTAATCCGTGAGACTGTTTGTCACGGATTTGTCACGGCCACGGTCCGTGACAAAACACTTCACCGGAATCCCATCGCCTTTCATTTGTCACGGACGCATCCGTGAATAAATGTTTTTATTTTTCAAAAAAAAAAATAATTTTTTGTCACGGAATTATCCGTGACAAATTTTAAAAAGGTTTTTCAAAATAGAGTGGGCGGGTATTTGAAACGGTCCGGAAAATTCAAAATTTAAATTTTGTCACGGACATATCCGTGACAAAATATTTTGAAAAAAATTTGAAAATTTTAAAATAGAGTGAGCGGGAGCTTTAAAATTTTCAAAAAAAATTCAAAATTTTGAATTTGTCACGGATCCCATCCGTGACAAAACATTTTTTTTTTTTAAAAAAAACGTTAATTTAGCGTGAATATATATTTTGTCACAGAACAGTCCGTGACAAAAGTTTAAATTTTTTAAAAAAAATTTTAAAAATTCAGCGCATTTTTAAAAGTTTATTTCAAAAGTTTATTTAATAAAAATAACCATTAAAATTTAGGCGCTTTTTAAAAAAATTAAACTTAATAATAAATAGTTAAACAATAATCATAATAAATAATTGTTTATAATAATAATCACAATCAACTATTACAAAACACCATCATAATAAATCACCATTAATCACCATTACACATTAGG